GCCCACCGGCTGCTGGGCCCTGTCACGGCCATGGACTGGGTGCCGCAGTCCCACACCACCGTCGTCGCGGCGCGGCGGCCGGACGGGCTCGGGTTCTGCGCGGAGCTGCTGGACCTTCGGTCGCCCGGGATCAGCCTGCGCTACCTGGGCGCGCCGCCGGGGATGCTGGGGACGTTGTGTTGCTATGGGCGGGGGTCGCGGGGCGGGGGGCGGGGGGGGCTGCGCGGCGAGGTCCCGACGCTGGGGATGTGCTACAGCGAGCACGTCGCCTGCAGCGCATCGCAGTGGTACGTCGCGACGACGGGATCGCAGCACGACCACGATATCGTCCAGCTTTGGGATCTCCGCATGTGTACCGTGCCGCTTTCGCAAAAAGTCTGCGGCCGGATGGGCTATACCTCCCTGTGTTGGAGTACAGAGGAGCCCCTGACGGTCATCGTGACGACGCGCGCGGGCGGGCTCTGTGTGTACTCTTTCTCAGACGATTCAAGGAACGAACCACAGGATGATGACTTACACGAGCGCTTTTCGGGTCGAGGGAATGCCGACACACCAGAAGTCGCCACCGTCCACGACAGAAATGCCAGAATAAACCTGCACTCCGCACTAACGGACGGGGGTGAGACCGAGGACGACGGGTGCACCAACCCCTCTTCACGTGACGCACCATCACAACGCCACTTATCACGACACGACACCCAGCCAGTCCAGACTAGATTTTCATGGTCTAATACTGAGAGAGATCAGGGAACCATAAAGTTCTTGGATCCCAATAGCTCTCTTCCTCCATCTGATCATGCGTTTTGCAACTGGGGTGTTTTGGCCGAGTGTGGCACTATCAACGACAGCGATTCAGACGACCTAGAGAGGGGGTCATTCTCCTTCCCGCACGCAACAGGTGCGACGAGCGTGGACGGGAGGGCGAGGGAGAAGAGGCGCTCACCATTTTTTTGGTCATCCCCGGGGGCGAATCAGGATGATACCTCAGCCTCAGGTCCCGGACGTCAGAAGCCGTTATCATCTAGAAAATGTCATTTGCCCACGCGGGTTCCGACAGCGGCGGTGGCATGGTTGGCAGCGGCCTCTGTCCACAGTCGCTCAGCCACTCCTAACGCGGCCGAGGCTGGCAGATTGAACCGACCGAACGAGAACCGACATCTCATTCAGCCCAGTTGCTGCACTGACTTGCCAAGACTCTTATTGCTTAATAGCGAAAATGGTGAGTTGTATACACAGGTATTTAATCGCAAAGGGACGATAATAAGTATGTTTGGAGATGTCCCATTTGCCGCCGCGGGGCCGAACCTCTTTGCGTTTGAATACATCGATCGATTTCATCGCACCGAGTTGCTGCGCCAGGAAAAGCTTCTTTGTTATTTGCAGCACCACGAACAGGTCAAAACGTTTGGATCTGCACCAGGGTTAAATTCTTTGTGGAATGTGGCGCTATCTGCCACTGAGTCTCATCAGAAGGGTGTCGGTGGTGAGGCTACAGGTGGGACCACAAAGTTGCATCCACCGGGTGTTGGAAGTAATCGTTTTGCGGATAAAATTGACCAAACAGGGCAAGGTGAACGACATAGGGCTCACCTTGGAATATTACATGATGACTTCTCAGGATTACTCGACAATGATGACGACGACGACGATGACCATGACGACGAGGATGGGAATAAAGACGCTTTAGACCGAATAATGCCGGTTTCAGGCCTTGGCACCAGCACCGCCTCGAGTTCCACGGATTCACAGGACGGGACTACAGGGAATCCTTGCCACCCCCGCCTTCTGTCGATTTGCGGTCATGAGCACTACGATGAAAGTGATTACTGTAGCGTGGATTCCAACAGCACCAGTAGTGATAAAATAAAGGAACGCCGGCACAGGGGCACATCCTACGAAGCCCGACAGCCATTCAAAGCTCCTCGAGTTCCTCTGCGGCATATGGTGGGTGGGAGTTGCGCGATCGATCGCAACAGCCTCGCCCTTGGACGGCTCTCTATCGGCTTCTTGGCTGATCCATACAAAAACATGATGGCCCTCTTGCAAGAAGGGATCGATCGTGAAGCTTACATCGTGTTTCGCTACGGGCTTATCATGGCGGAGCATCTTTATGGAAGTGCCGATGGCGGTCAAAAGGTCTCACCGGATTCCCCTGCCGTTGTGGTTCCCATTTCGCAGGCGGTGCCTGGATTTTTGCAACTTTTGGCTGCTGAACGCGAACAGCGAAAGCGACTGGGCTACGCCGACATTCCTTTCTCCGCAGAGGACTTTCCCCAAACAAAAGGAGGGGCTTCTGCCGGTGGCGTGGCGGAAGCGCGTCTGAGCTCCGTGAATGTGGCCACCACGAATGTGCCGGTGCTTTTTGTGCGGAATGTTGTGGGGTTACCGGGGCATTTGTCGTCCAACCCTCCTCTTTTGTCGCCTATGATTCCGCATATGGCGTCGGATGAGGGTCTGGACGCGCGGCAGTCGACGCATGAGCCGTGCGCCGCGATCGGTTCGTTGCGGGAGTTGATGCTGCGGGCGATGGGCTGGTTGGGGTGGTCTACGGATTCAGCCTCCAAGGCGGAGGCAGGTGCGGCTGTTAAAAAGAGAGAACCTAAAGGGTTCCCTACTCCCCTGACCTTGTCATCCTCTGTACGCAAGAAGCAATATCGCCACGACGGTCCCACCTCGCATGATATTTCTGACGATGGTGATACCACCATATTGCCCTCCTCCAAGCCTCAACGAGGCGATGTTCAATTGTATTTCATAGAGAGTGACGGTATCGGCCTCAGCAGTCTTCAGGAAACAATTGAGCGTCGTGTGGCCGTGCTGGTGCTTCTCGAGCGTTTTGAAGAGGCATCCGAGTTGCTGGCGTTCTATGCCTCCTTCCACCAGCTTTACCCCAATATTGCCCTGGAGCTTTCGGCCGCCGGGACTGAGCTTTCCGTCCCTCACGCGAGTTTCCATCCCCGGCGGAGGGCGTGTGGGCTGAAAAGGCAGTTGGCGTCGGTGCGGTCGCGTACGATGGGTTGTACGTATTGGCTATCACTGGCGCTTTTTTTTCTCGATACGTTCGTGCGGCCCGCCCGCGCGAGCGGCGACGTCCCGGCTTCGCGACCCACAAATCCGCGCAACGAAGAGGATCCCGCGACGACGCGGCCCCCGACGGCGAATAACCTAAAATCAGTCTCGAATGAGGCGCGGCGGCTCGATTGCCTTGAGTATTATTTTCTGATTCTCGAACTATACCCACGGCTACCGCTATCGGACGCACTGGCGCTTGGTGTTTTAATGCTTTTGCCGCCCAAGTACACCACTGCCGACTTGGACCTTACTATTCGGGCTCTACAGATTCTGGTGGATCAGCAGTACTACGACCTACCATCGCAGGGTTCTGGAGCTGTGGAAGGGCTCGTTTATGGGTCGAAAAGCCCCGTTGACAAGTTTTTAAGCGAATATTCCAGCCGCTGCTCATTTTTGCTGACCGCCACGGTGGAGACGATCACCCCGGAGAGCACCGCCCTGCAGCGCTACGTGGACGAGACCGCGGAGGTGCAGGGTCCGCTATCCTACATCACCGCCTTTGGCGAAACCCGCGGGATGACGTATTGTACCTGGCGGGAGGCCTACCGTGCGCAGCTAAATGCTCGGGGCTATGGCTTTAAACGCTGCGAGTATGATCTCAGCACCATAAAGCTCCTCACCGCCCGCGGCGAGGCGGCGAGCTACGACGCCAACGACGGCCTGTTCAACGTCAGTGGGGAACGCAGCCTGAAGTTGCCGTTGGGCCTGCCCGGGATCGCGGGGCTGGCGAAGCTCCCGGTCCCCGACCGCGCGCTGGACCGCCTGATGAAGCAAACCTTCGGGACGCTGCGCTCGTCCGCCGCGCAGGTGGGGCGTCTGCCGGCCTACCCTTCCCTCCAACACGCGAGGGATCCACGGCGGGGGGTGGAGCTGCGGTGCAATTGCGGGCAGCCGATGCACACCACCGCGCCCTCCATCGGCCCGGTCACGCAGACGGCGCAGTTTCGCAAACACCCCATGCCGTGCGGGAACTCGGAGTGCACGCAAGGGCAGACGCCGATGTGCGTGGTGTGTGGGGAGCGAATGGAGCCTCGGATGACGGAGCTCCCGCCGGAGCGCTCGTTTGTGTGGTGTACGGTGTGCTTGCATGGGGGGCACTGGTGCGATATGCAGGCGTGGTTTGCCAAGCACACCAAGTGCCCGGTGGAGAACTGCCCTTGCAATTGTTGTGATGGCAAAACGCTTTGAGGTTTGATGAGTGGGCGTGGCGTGTGGGATGCGTTTCTGGTTAACGATCTTCTCTGGTCATTTTTCCCAATTAGATTTTTATGAGGGTCAAATGTAATAAACCCAAGAGTCGGCGGCGTTATTGCTAATCTTATGAATACATACATATTTACATTCACATGAAGACATATAAATATATATATATACATAAATACATTGGATACTTATTTACTTGCACATGCGAGCACAAATTCCTTCATTCATCTTTCTTTTTTTCCCCCTACATCCATGTAAATTTGCTATTTGCACGAATGTGCCAGCCCAAGTGCAATTATTACCCACTCAGTTGTTTTAACACATTTAGGGGGTGGGAGTAGAGGAGAGGGAACTTTAAGTTGAAGAAAAAGGTCTCGGAGGATGAAATTTTTTTCTTGTCAACCAGATTCTCACAACGGTTTCGGAGCGCTCACGAACGGCATTTTATCATATTTCACGGTCGATTACAAACCCATTCCACACACTTTGGCAGGTTCAAAAATCTCCCAAGCCCCGAAGCCCGATGCGAGTGCTCCGCAGCACCCACCGAATTATACCTCACCCAATAATAGTTTTGCCGGGGTTGATGATAAGACGAATGTGCATGTGAAGAGGTCCATCACACTTCCCGGGGTATTTCACACGCAAAACTCCTGCTTTAGCATCGCCAATCGGTCCATCTATGGAGTCGATCTTGTGTTTGTCGGTAGCTCCAATGGCGTTCTTGCTTTGGTGGTGTTGGCGGACAAGAGTTTGGTGTACGCCCCGGAGCGGGACCCCCAAACCGTGCGGGAATCCCTTCATTTGCTCCTGCAGCGCAGTCAACAGGACGCCCGACAGCGACATTCCATGCGGCCTACATCCACAAAAGCTTATCTCGCCCCCGCCCAGGGTGGTGGGGCTGGCGATGATCATCTTGATCCCTTCGAGATGAAAACATACAAGACCAACGTGGGGACTTCCGCATCGCCGCTACCGTCCTTTGAAAGCGATCTTTTACCGCACGAGACGATGTTGGATGCGCCTTCGACGATCACCTGCATGCGGGGTCAGCCGCTTGTTTTTGTCGGGTATATGAGTGGCCGTATTGAATGGTATCAGGTCAACATCTCGTCGAACAAGCGACGCCAATACGGCGAGGAGATCCATTACGAGGTGGTTCTCTCCAGCCACTTCGCGAGGCGCATCAATCATGTCGACCAGAACTCCCACATTTCGAAGATTTCCTACCATGGCGAGGGGGATGGGGTGCGGATGTTCGTCGTCGCGAGGTCCCGCCTGCCCGAAAGCGGCCCGCTTCTTACGAGTGATTATTTCCCCGCAAATGACCATCTTGTCGTGGGCAGTGCGCGGACTATTGCCGTGTTTAGCTCCCACCAACTCGAATGTCCTGTCCATCATGTAGGCAATATCGGCTGTAGTTTTCTTTATTGCCATCCCTGCCTGCCCATCCTGGGGACCCTCGCGTACGGGTGGAATATCCCCGGGGCCCATGAGGCCGGACGGGGAGGAGGAGGAGGAGGAGGAAGGGGAGAGATTAGCGATGGGAATTTAGCTCATTCGCCCGTTGGCGGTTCCACGCCGAAGGGGGACTTCCCCATCACCTCAGGATCCCCCACTCAGGTCTTTTACGACGACCCCAGCTGTATTAATGGGGGCTGTTTGTTGAGGATTTTTGAATTTGTCGAGCTACCAACCGCGCCGATGGTGTCTCCGGCGCGGTTGGCTGAAAAACAGGTCCCCCGAACGCGCGGACGGATGTCGAGTTCGTTTATTGAAAGTAGCCCCATCGGTGAGTCTAATGGAAGGACGGCGGAGAGGGGTTATGCCCTCAACCACGGGGCAATGCCGCACGGCTTTGCGGCCAATAAAGTGACTTCTGCGCTGCAATTGGTGCAGGAAAGGTTTTATCCAATTTCTTCCAAACAGTACGGAGCCTACTTTTCCTTTTCATGGAAGTTTAGCTTGGATTTGGAGCTGGCGTTGTGTAATGTCGAGGAGGGTGTGGTGTATATTGTGAGGCTGCACCAGCAGTACTTCCCTCAACAACGAGAGCTGTCTAATAAGAAAACTCTGAGCCACCTTGGAGGAGATAATACCACTTCGGATGCAAATACTACAAGGGATTATTTGATGCCTTCCCTAAAGTATGCATTTACCTCAGAGCATCGTTTACAGCTGCCGCTCCATTCGCTTTTGAATATTGAGTATATTTCTTCGGCGACCGTTCCTTTGTCAACTATGACCAGCCGCCTCACGGGCGGAAGCCCCAGTCAGGCAAAACCAAAGTTGCCCTCGAATGTCATTTCTCATGGGAAGAAAGCGGGAGGGAAAGCCATTGGTTCGTTAATCATGCCAGCAACTACAGATTCGGGAAATTGGATGCATAAATTACAAAGTACCGCGGCAGGTCCAACGGATCCCTGGGATGGCGCTCGTCGAACTAGTGGCGGATTGGATTATGCTAATGCCGCACAGCGTTTTGCAGCTCTCTTCCGCTCTCAGGATAATTGCGCGAGAGGGGTTTCTTCCAGAGGGGTGCGCATTATGCGGGAAGACGTTGATCCTCAGTCAAACAACAACCATCAAACGGAGCCTTTTTTTCTTACAACGATGATGATGGATTCTATTTCTTATTTATATGGGATTCGCGCGTGTGGGTTGAAATGGAATACCCTGTACACTTCACCACTTTCGCGTTTATCTGACTCCTCGACCTGCCTCTTTAATTTCCTCCTTGACGTTAACAGTTGTGGGATTGGACGATCCACGGCCACGATGTCCCCGAATGAAAAAAAGCTCACCAATAAATTATTAGGCCGCCGCACCACATCCGTAGTACTAACCACTAAAGGATCACGCGACAACAACACCGGCGACGGGAGGAAAATGTCCTTGACCTCTACCCTGCTAACGGATCATCCGCAATCAACCAACCCCGCGGGGGGTTCACAACAATCACTCAATCGGTACAACTCTCACGTGAATTCGTTCTCCGAAGAGGATCGCCACGCAAAGAATTCCACCCCCCTTCTGCAAATCGGTACAGGATCGATCTCCCGACTTTTTGGGCTCAATCAAGCCGGTGAAATCATGTGCATCCCGGTTGATTGTGAGGCGGTTGCGGCCTGGCATGAGGAGGGCAGTGTTTTTGCCGGCCTGGGCGCCACCTTGTGCTCGTTGGATATCATTTCTCTCCAGGATATCGAGCGCGAGATCTCCACCCGCGCGCGCGCCGGGTTCGGTCTTTCCGCGCAGGAGAACGCCGTGGTGTTGCGGAAGATACTCGAGATCAAAAAGCAGCCCGTGGTCTACCGCGGCGCCTTGACGCCACCCCCCACCCCTCCTTTGACCGAACCCCCCGAGGATAACCAGATGCTTCGGCATACCAAAGATACGGAAAAGCTCTTTGTCTACGTCGCGCTGCTGGAGCAGGCGGGCGTTGTGCAGCCCACGGGGGATATCCCCAGCGTCTTAAGCTTTTTAGAGCAGGAAGAGGGCTTGTCAAGAGATGGTGAGGAGGGATTCGCACCGGCCGCTCGGGGCGATCATGTGGAGGGGGTGGATTTTCGGAAGCGACTACTCCTGCGTGTTCTGGAGTGTTTGCCTTCCAACGCATCCCTCACAAGTCCATCTTCGAGACCCAACGGTTCCTACCCCCCTCAAGTTTTCCACTCTCAGGCGGAACTCGAGCGGGAGGTGGCGATTCAGGCCTTGCATGGCCATTTCGAGGCTGGCGCGACGCTTCTGGAGCTCAGCCACCACAAATCCTCCTTTTCTTTATCGATGCGATACAGCTCCATGGTGAGCTTCCTGCGTTATCCCGCCCAGACGGTAGGGCTCATTCGCGGCAGTAATATAACCGCACGGGATACGTTTTTGACCTCTCTGAGTCCGTGGCTCTTGGCGGTTTTTCTGCATCTCTGCGCGGATAGTGAAGATACCCATGAAATACGGTCCTACCGCTCTCGTATCTACATCGATACCCACCTCTCGCTGTGGGATCGGGTGGCGATGGCGACGTTGTTGGAGCCGGATTATCCTCGGCTCATTCAGGTATTACGACAGTACATGCTCCCAACCTGCTCCTTCGTGCAATCGCTCATGCTCGAGCATGGGATCTCGCAAGGGTCGTTTTCGAAAATGCAGCAAATTGTGGACTGCACCGGCGACTTTCAGCTCGGGGCCTGTCTTTATGCCCGAGTTGGGGTGCGATTGATCCCGCCCGGGTTCTACTTTGGCGACGGTGAGCGGCAGAGCGCGGGGGAGGGGGAGTGGACGTGCCCCTCCACGCTCTCTCGTTCGCCCGAGCTCACCTCGTTCCATCCGGCCCCGTCATCCTCGCTGAACACCGGAGCGAGTTCCACTTCGGGTGCTTTTTGTAGTGACTATTGGGGGCCTTTCCCGACATCCGCCTTCATCCCGCCGAGTCAGATTTACGCCAGCGGGCTGCCGCCGCGGACCTACCGCGGCGGCAGTCCCCACTCCGACGCCTCGTTGACGTCGCCGGACGCGCTGTGCAGTATTTTGAGCAACTTCCGTCTCCAACCCCCGACTTCCCTCGAGCACCTCCTGCAAACGAGCGTGCCGAAAGATTCCTCTCGGGAGACCCGTGAGGAGACCGCGTCCGGATGCGACGGGGTGGAGAACCCCGAGGAGGCGCCCGAGGCCTCGTTCGACGACGACGACGGGAATCACTGGCTTTGGTGGGCCGAAGCGTATCGGGCCTTTTTAGACAACGAGCAGTATTTTGTCGAGCGCACCATCTTCGACGTCGCCTGCCAGCGACTCCACGAGCAGTCCCGCAGCACCCTCGCCCGCTTCCCCGGCGACGGCCTGGGCTGGCCGGCCAAACCCGGCGGCGCGGGTGCGGCCACCCCGCGCGTGGGCGGCATCCCGGCCCCGACGCTGCC